AATTGAGAGAGCAAGCGTTCATTTTGATGCAAGAGAAGCGTTCATTTTGTACTGGCAAAATTTTAGTCAGCAAAAATTATCCAACACGAAAACATATGATCACAAAACATATGGTTGCAATTTTTGTAAACAAACAAAATTGCGTTTCTCGAGTTTTGGGATTTATATGCTTTTTGATGCCTGCTATGTGACTTTATGATAGCGCCAACTAGTTTTTACTTCTAGAAATGTTCCTGGCGAACACTGAACGTTCACTTTCCTTTTTTCTTCTATGGAGGCAACGTGAATTTCAGTTTGTTTACAAATAAAACATAAACAAAGTCAGCTGTTGTGTCTTCTTCTTCCGGATTTTGCAAGTAATGGCTAATTTCCTGTTCGTTTACTTTTTTGCTTTTTCATCTCTTTGGGAGAGAATTTTCGCTTACTCTCTTGATTTTGATTGTTGGCTGGTGTTGGCTAATTTTGTTATCGAACGCAACTATTAATAGGTTCATTCCTTATCTTTTTGGAGTAAAATCTGAAAAGTGTCAAAATGCCAGAGCGTAAGCAAAATGCGCTCATTATAAGAGAATAACAGGAAAAGTAAAGGATCGCAAAAAACAAAATTTTTTGTCCAAAGAATGGCAACAACAAAGCTAACGTCAAATAAGGCCATGTGCCAATTGATAGAAAGGGCCTGTGCCAATTGATAGAAAAGTTCTATGGTGGAAAAACTTTTTACTATGGTGAGAAAATTTTACATTTCTGCTGTGCCAATTCGTAACTTTTTACCGCTGAAAATTTTTGACAGTTGCTTTGATGCACAAGAAGACTATCGTGTTTGCTATTTATAAAATGCAGCAATTATATAGAAAATATTTGCCTTTGATGATTTCAATTCTTCTGGAACTGAAATCCATGCATTTATTAGACCTTTTAGCAGTAATATTAGAAATAAAAACACCTCAAAACCGTCTGGTAAGTGTGTTCACAAAAATGTTTAAAACCGTGTACAATTGTTTCCAATAAAAACATACGTCGTTTTAGGGTATTATGTACATGCAACAAGACGTTTATTCCAAAATACTAAGCAGCATTATGAACGGCGATAACAAGACTACAAAAATGTATCTTAGGTTGTCCTCTGCTTCGTTTCGAAAAATTGTAACTCACATTCCCAAAAAGCGCCACGGATGGTCAGTGGAGTACGAAGTCATTTGCTTAATAAAGTCTTCAAATTATTTATATTAAGGGTATTCATCAAACCTTATAAATGCATTGTAAACCGTATAAACTTATAATTGTGTAAACCTTATAAATGAACTGTCAAAATTTGTATGGAAACTCGTTTACACATTTCTGATAAATTTATCCAGCGATTTTACCGAATAAACTTCATAAACTGAAGACAATGCAACTCTGTCGCAACTCTAGCTATGTTTTCTTAGGCAATAATCGGGACCCGCATACAAATTTTGCACGCAAATTCAACAACGATATGATCCTGATAGAGATCTGGTTCAATTATTATCCCGTCTGTTTGTTTTGTTTCACTGATAATTCGCAAAGTTTGGTAGCCGTGACAAATGAATTCATACACAAACAGACATTCTGCCATTGTTTCTTATAACTTGCTTCAAATAAATAGCCTTTATATTATATGTACATTTATTAAAATAGATATCTCGTAAATATAATTTTGAATTTGCGTGCAAAATTTGTATGCGGATCCCTTTTATTGCCTAAGAAACATAGCTAGAGTTGCGACAGAGTTGCATTGTCTTCAGTTTATCAAGTTTATTCAGTGAAATCGCTGGATAAATTTATCAGAAATGTGTAATATTTTTAATTAAAAAAATACATAACGCCATTTCATATGTAAATCTGAAATTAAATCTTACAAGTTATATAGCTTTTCTTTATTTTTTTTGTGCCGGCGGGACCATGTTCTTTTATTTCCACTCGCGTTTGTTTTCTTTAATTTATGTGTATACGTGCGTTGTTCGTTCTTCTTCTTGATAATGCTTGCTGTCAAATTTTTCACTAGCCCTGCCGTATCAAACATTTTTATTCACCTCATAGCTGTCAAAAATTTACTATCCAGAGAATTTTTCTATAATTGGCACAGGCCCAAAATAGAAAATTTTGACGGATCAAAGTAAAAATGTGACACTTCTCGTGGTGAATACGAACGTCAAAATTTTACCTAGCTCATTGGGCTAGGTAAAATTTTGACAGCTTATAACCATGTATACACATAATATTGCTTGGCGGTAATAAGGAGTGAACATGAAAATGAAAGCTGAAACAGCATAAAAAAGCGTACGTTACTTGCAAATTATAAAATAAATATAAATTTTAAGAATTTCAGCAAC